AAGATCCCGGGTGTCCTCACCGGGACGCCAACTGGTGACCTTCTAGCTGTGAGGCTACGGTGCTAACCACTGAGTCACCTGCAGCCAAGTAACAATCAATCAGCCTAATTTAAATGAACTTACATGACGCTTTTCTACCTACACATGCAAGCTTCTTGCCTGCTGTCCGTGCATTCAGTGCAGCGGGGATCAAACTGCCAACTTTGCAACTACTGGACCAACCCGCTAATTCGTTGATGTCACTTTATTGATCAGGATCTGATCAAGGGTATATCAATATGGAAATGTTTCTTGATTTTGTGTCAGTACTGCCTCAGACTTTCTGTCGGACGGCAGCATTTTGTCTGAACCTGAACAAAGTTCCCTGCAGTGAGCCCAGTGTCCCTGAGTACTGATCCAGACAATTGACATCAAGCAGAAGTTCAGGTGTGTTTGTTTTCCACTGCGGTTGACTTGATATTCAGACGCACTGTTTAGTCACCAAAACACGTCGCTGTGAAACGCTTTCCGGCCAGATGCAGGTTTACATCAGTTAGTTGACGTACGTGAAAGGAAACCATGTTTTATGAAAATATGTAAAAGGAGAAAATCACAATTTAAATACCGGCCAAAGCAACACAACATTTTGTTATTTCTATTTCATTGAGAGCCACAGAGCTGAGAATGCTCTGACTACAATGATGCATTGCTTTAAGTCAAGCATCAGGTTAAGACGGAGCTGCAGCATGTCAGCCTATAAATATTAAACTATAAATCTCATAAATGTCAGGATATAAATCACAAAGTGCTGCTGAAAAACTACCAGAAATGATGTTGTGGTCTGATGCAGATCTGTGGAGCTCCAGCTCTGGAGGACTGTTCAGGATGCGGTGGAGCACTCTGTGTTCTGGCTCTGGGTCCAAGGAAGTGTGGAGGTCCGAACTGTGACGGAGTCGTTCCCATCAGTCAGAAAGCTTCAGAAACAGCAGAGAAAGTGAAGGAGCAGCTCATCAACCTCCCATCCAGGCTGCAGGAGTCCAAGAACAAGGTAGGTTCACAATGGAGCCACTGGGAGGACGGGTGTACACACTGGGCAGTCATACTGGGAAATGTGATGCAGAAACAAGCCGACTAACATCATCAAAGCAGGTCGAGATGTACAATCAGCATCCAGGTTGTCACATCAGCCGACTGTGCTGATTCAGTTCTGCTGCTGGTGAATTCTATCGCTTTGTACTGACTGCTGTTTCTGTTATTTTGTCCACCTCGTTTATATCAGTTCGGGTTGGTTGAATAATAAAAGCCCTTCGCTGTGTGATGCTGTAATACAAAATGTGTTTGCAGGTAATATTTGCTGTCTGCAGGCTGGTGGATCTCAGTGCTGCACTGATGATGAAGCCTGACCCTAGTGACTGTGATGAAGGTTGTGATGGCTGCTGTAGGAACTCTGCACACCGACTGTCTTCACTGTACAATAGATGACATCGCTGTTTGCTCTGTGTCAGATCAATGATGCAAAACGAGCAGCTCAGGACACCAAAGACCAGGCGAAGGACCTGCAGGACCAGATCCACAGCAACGCCGACTCCATGGAGAGAGAGAAAAACAAGACCAAGGAGCTCATCCAGCGAGTCAAAGACTACCTGTTGGGTAAGATCACACAATCCGTCCTCCATGTAAAGTTCCCGACCCAATCCACTTTATCGGAGCCAGAGAAAACGGAACAAGTCAGGGACATGCAACTCTGTGACAGAAAATAAGTCATAAATCAGACGTTTTCTCTGCAAACCTGTGATGTGGTGGTCTGCAGGAAAGCATCTCACCATCATCCATCACTGTTCCTCCCTTACAGACGACATGGTTCCTCCAGAGGACATCGAGAAAATGGCCAAAGCTGTTCTGAACATCCAACTGCCACGATCACCCAATCAGATCCAATCGATGATCGATGACATCAATAATCTGGTGATCAATGCAACCAAATTCCAGGACGACCTGAAGAATCTGGAGAATCAAGCCAAGACTGCCCAGGATCTACAGCAGAAAGCTCAGGAGCTCAGGTGAGTGTGGTGTGACGGTTTAGCTGAGGCATAGGGGTGCCAGCCAGGTGTCTCTCCTGGCATGTAGGGCAGTTTTGTCTTTTCCTAAAACATCAAGCAACATACACAAAGAATGCAAGCAGAAAAATGCTTAACACCCTAACCAATGAACACTTTTTTTGGTAGCCATCACCAATGAAATGAAATGAAATGAAAAATATTTTATTTATCCCAGAAGGGAAATTCAGTCATGCAAAATATGAACACAGACACAGAAAACAATCCCAAATATGTCCACTCGGTTCTTTTTAAAGATAAATAGTTTATTCAGTTCAGTTCGGTTCAAAAGAAACAGAAAAAAATTAGGTCGTTTCACCTCGCAGAGAAAATAATACAAATCAGTTCAGTCCAGTAAACCAGGAGATCCACTCCGGACCTCAGGAAGACCTTCAGTTCAGTCCAGTTTGAACTGAATCTCTTTTATTCAGTCCAGAATCTCTGAACATGTCTAAATGACATCAGCAGCACCACAGCAGAAATGGAGCATCTCTTTAATGCTTTGTCAAATTCAACACTTTGATCTGTGGCAGTGTGACTAATTTATACCTTTGTTCCTGCTTTTCCCTGTGTTTTTCTGTTGGGCATAATGTTTACTGTGTTGACTGAGGATGCTAAAAGAGGATGCTAAAATAAATACAAAATATGACTGAATCCAGGTGGTCCAGAAGATGTTTGGTTTTCACCTTTTGATGAATTAATTACTGATTGGTTGAGTCCTGGTCTGTTCACAAGTAAAAACTTTGCATGTTGAAGTCACGTTGTTTTGCTTACTTGTGTTTAGGGAGCGGACGAAGAACATTGACGTGAAAGACATCAGCAGAGACATTTATCAAGCAGAGAGAGCTCAGGACGAAGCCAACAACAACTTGGAGACAGCCAGCCAAGACAGAGACGAGGCCAAGGACAGAATCCAAGAAGTAAAAATCCTAAATACCTCCAACATCCCTTCAGCCCTGCCTCTTGTTGATGTGGTCACACGTTTTTTCTGTCATGTTTCAGACTAAAGACAAACTGGATGATATGGAGGCGAATCTGATGAATCCATCTGACCATCTGTTGAAAGAGATCGAAGCTGTGAAGAACAAAACTGAACAGAACAGAGAGATGGCCCGAGAGGCTCGACAGGCTGCAGAATCTGCTTTAAGCAATGCTACAGAAACGCAGACGGTACATTTTAATATCTCTACAGACACAAAATGTTTGAGTCAGAAAACGGAGCAGTTAGATTTATCAGTTTGTATAGAATTCTGTAAAGTCTTCAGGCTGTTTTCCACTGTGGAACTCGCAGGTTGTTTTATAGCAGAACACCTTTATCAGGAACCATCTTCATTGTTTCAGGAAACATGAATGTAGAACTTCTTTTAGGAAGCATTCCTGTAGAGTCTCTTTTAGGAACCAACAACTTAGAACCTTATTCAGGAACAATCCATGTACAACCTCTTTCAGGGCTCATCAGTGTGGGAACTTTTTGTGGAACTGACCCCAAATAACCTCATTCAGGAACCACCAATGTTGAAGCTCTTTCAGGATCTATCCCGTAGGACCACTTGGTGGAACCGTCCATGTAGAACCTTTTCAGAACCCACCCTCGTAGAACCTCTTTCAGCAACCATCCATGTAGAACCTCTTAGGAATCACCTTCTTAGAACGTAGGGTCACATTGTAACCCCGGTTCTCTGAGTGAAGAGACTGTCTCTTCACCTAGTTACATACACTATCTTGCCAAAAGTATTTGCTCACCTGCCTTGACTCACATATGCACCTAAGTGACATCCCATTCCTAATCCATAGGGTTCGATATGACGTCGGTCCACCCTTTGCAGCTAGAACAGCTTCAACTCTTCTGGAAAGGCTGTCCACAAGGTCTAGGAGTGTGTTTATGGGTATTTTTGACCATTGTTCCAGTGAGGTCACACACTGATGTTAAACGAGAAGGCCTGGCTCTCAGTCTCCGCTCTAATTCATCCCAAAGGTGTTCTATCAGGTTGAGATCAGGACTCTGTGCAGGCCAGTCAAGTTCATCCACACCAGACTCTGCCATCCATGTCTTTATGGACTTTGCTTTATGCACTGGTGCACCTTCATGCTGGAAGAGGAAGGGGCCATCTCCAAACTGGTCCCACGAAATTGGGAGTTTGGAATTGTCCAAAATCTCCTGGTATGCTGAAGCATTCAGAGTTCCTTTCACTGGAACTAAGGGGCCAAGCCCAGCTCCTGAAAAACAACCCCACACCATAATCCCCTCCACCAAACTTTACACCTGGCACAATGCAGTTAGACAAGTACCGTTCTCCTGGCAACCACCAAACCCCGACTGGTCCATCAGATTGCCAGATGGAGAAGCGTGATTCCTCACTCCAGAGAACGTGTCTCCACCGTGGCGTGCTTTCCACCACTGCATCCTACGCTTTGCATTGCACTTGGTGATGTATGGCTTGGGTGCAGCTGCTCGACCATGGAAACCCATTCCATGAAGCTCTCTGCACACTGTTCTTGAGCTAATCTGAAGGCCACGTGAAGTTTGGAGGTCTGTAGTGATTGACTCTGCAGAAAGTTGGTGATCTCTGCTCCCTATGTGCCTCAGCATCAGCTGACCCCGCTCCATCAGTTTACATGGCCTACCCCTTCGTGGCTGAGTTGCTGTCGTTCCCAATCGCTTCCACTTTGTTATAATACCACTGACAGTTGACTGAGGAATATTTAGGAGCGAGGAAATTTCACGACTGGACTTGTTGCACAGGTGGCATCTATCACAGTTCCACGCTGGAATTCACTGAGCTCCTGAGAGCGACCCAGTCTTTCACAAATGTTTGTAAAAACAGTCTGCATGCCTAGCCGCTTAATTTTATACACCTGTGGCCATTGAAGTGATTGGAACACCTGATTCCGATAATTTGGATGGATGAGCAAATACTTTTGGCAATATAGTGTATTACATGTTTATGTGGAATGACCCCAACTCAGGTCCATCTGCAAGATGCAGGACAAGCCGAAGGAACGCAGGTTAAGGCCCCACAAGACGCAAAGGCTGAATCTGTCAATGAACTGGCCACTTGGATTGACAAGTAAGTCACCAAAGGAGACCTCAAATATAGGTAGAGGTCTACTCTAGCCCAGTCATCTACTGATGAGCCTCCCTCAGCACCTGCTCCACAAAGGAGGGACTGGCCGCTACATTCAGACAATAGAATCTTGAAAAGGTGGACTCAGATGACCATGTGGCTGCTGTACAAAGGCAGTCAGCGAGGCTCCCTGCCACAAGGCCCATGAGGTAGCCACATTATAAGTTGAGTATGCTTGAACCCTGGATGAAACAGGCACCCCTGAGAGCACATACACCTGCTGAAATGTTCCCACAACCAAGTGGAACAGTCTACATGTTGACAAGGGCTTGCCCAAATTCCTGGTGTCAAAGGAGACGAAGGGCTGATCAGTTGTCCTATGAGACCGTGTGTGCTGGACGCACTCTGTCCAAAACCCTTTCCAGGCATAGCGTTGACTGGCACTAATCCCCCTTGTCTCCTTCAGAGGTGGTGAGTAATCACAGCTCAATTGACTGGGGCAAGTAGAACTTGGATAAAACCTTAGGCAGCAATGCCGGATTTGGATGAAGAGTTACACCCGACCCCTCTGGCAAAAGCCTGCAGCATTCACTGTGAACTGAAAGTGCATGAAGCTCGCTTACTCTCTTGGCAGAAGGTATTGCTAGCAGAAATGCAGTCTTAAGGGAAAGCCATTTCAACTCGGCCACCCCAAGAAGCTCGAAAAGGGGATGATGAAGTGTATCTAGGACTATACTTAAGTCCCATGGAGGGACCAAGGGCCTATTCCTGCAAACTGTAAGTTTCTGGACACCTCTAAAGAAATATAAAATCAAAGAACAGCTGCCGTCACTAAGTGTGCATTCACCCACACAAACAAGTTTGATTGCTGCCACCATACCTTGCAAGGTAACGGGAGCCCTTCCTGCCTCAAGCTGGGACTATAAGAATAGCAGGACTTCCTGGGCTGTGGCTACATAAGGTTCCACCTTGTGAACTCCACACCAAGCAGTGAAACCCCCCCCCCCAACAGTATGAATAGGCAGCCTTGGTGGATGGTGCCCGGGCTTTGCACTACATGCACAGTCCACACTACAGGCTCTGACAAGCCTAAGGCAAAGAGCCTGTCCCTGTCAGGGGCCAGACCACCAATCTGAGTTCTACAGGAAAGTGGTGGAGCAGGGTCCCACTGGCCTGAGACAGCAGGTCCCTCTTAAGCAGGAGCTCCCATAGTGTTCCATCCAAGAGAGGTAGAATCACTGAGAATCATGGCATGTGGGTCCAAAGGCGAGCCACTCAAAGCAGTCTTATTCAGTCCACCTGGATCTTCAGAAAACAGTCTCAATCCCCTTGCTGAAGCTGAGGCTGAGACAGCCACAGGTGGCATCTAGCAACCCAAAATGAAGCCAAAGGTCTCCCTGAAGCCACTGCCTGCTCCTTCATAATGGAGGAGATTTATGAAGACTCCGACTGGAGCTCATTCACAATGCTGGAACCCCTAGAACTGTCCTGTACCTGATAAGACAGGTGACTGAGGTAAAGAGACGTGATGGCTCCAGTGTTAGCCAGTCTGGTCTGTGTAGCCATATCCCTGTGCAGCTTTGCAAGCAGGCCATCCATAATCTTGAAGTTCTTGCTAGAGCAGGTGGCTCTATCTTAAATAGAGCTGGAGGGAGAAACAAGTGGTGTGAGAGCTGGATCCAAGGGGGGAATGACCCACAGGCAATTTGTTCGCTGCCTTGCATGTTAGACAGTATCCAACATGATGCAGACAGCCTGTGTGTAGCTGGTGCACTGAATTGTTTGCACACTAGGTCATTAAAGTCAGGCAAAGGGACACTTGTGCTGGTGTGCTGGGTGTCTCCCCATCCTCCACAAACCAGGAGGAGGGTGGCCAGAGGTTTTCAGAGAGGGCGACACGCAGAGTCCTGGTTGCCCTACCAATAACCACATAAAAGCGATAGTCTCCACATCCATGTCTTCCCCTTCCTCCTCCTCCAACTCTGGAGTTGGGGGAGATAGAGGAGAGGGGACGGACTGCTGTAGGCTTGATAACAGGGGAGGGTCCGGTAACCTGCCAAGGCTTGAACACTCCCCCCTATCTCTTGTAGGCTCAGCCCTTCTTTTAGTTTTCCTACTTGGAATTGCAGGAACAGAGGAACCTGCACGTTTTACTGCAAACCTACAATAGGCCTCTCTTGTACGTGCAGGCATAACGAAACAGTGCATGCAGAACTGTAGGCTCTTTCTCGATAGCAATGCAAGTTGGTGACCTAAACATAATACACACTTCATGTCCATCCTCCAAAGGCATGGAAATGCCACAGCCCACACAGAAATGCCCTTGGTGGCCAGCCACAGCTGTCATTACACTGCCATGCTATTTCAGGGGGCGGGGATTAGGACTAACACGGAATGACTCGCTTCCTTGTTTACATCCAACCTCGTGGTAAACCTGTTGGCGTTATGCTCATACAACTGCACTTTTTGGTATAGTTGCTTCACCCAGAGGGACAGTTTGGGACTTGGCATGTGTTTTGGACATCTGGGATTTGAATCGATATGAGAGAGAGAGAGAGAGAGAGAGACAGGAGACATCCGTTGTTAGCCAATCAGATTTGCGCTTGACACGGACTACCACTGAGCGTGTCAGCAGCACCACACCAATACGCTTCATGTTGGCAGTGAGACACCAACACGGCTGGAGGAAAGTTTCCTCACCCGCTGACCTGACCGAGAAATCGGCGCTTAGTGGGGATTCGACCAAACTGATTTGCTGCACCCCAGCAATACACCAGTATCAGGGATCACAGTCGCAGGAGCCGGAGCAAGAAAGACCAAGTCTAATGAAATCTGAACAAGCAAACAGCATTCCAGGGAGGCTGCCTGCAGACAGATGCCCAAACCACAACAGTTCAGTGGATGTATGCTGTAACCCATACACGTAGGTCTTTCTTTTGAAGCAGAATGGATCATCACACTGCACCCTGACTGAGGGGAGCTCAAACAACCAGTGAATTCCCAGCAGCACAGGTGCTTATAGTTAACCTGTGGGGCATGACCGGGCAAGCCAGTGTGTCTTAAAGAAGTGTCCATTCTCCATAGATATGAAATATGTAACGAGGTGGAGAGATAGGCTCGGGATGATAGAGAAGTTCTTTCAGGAACTGTACATGTAGAACCTCTGTCAGGAACTGATCCTGTTGGACATTTTCAAGAACCGTTCCTGTAGAACCTCTGGCAGGAACTGACCCTTTAGAGCCTTTTTCAGGAATTGTACATGTACAACCTCTTTCAGGGGAGAGTGTGGGTTCTTCCAAGGTTAGAATAGGGTTGATCGGTTGAATTCAGAGAGAACAACATTTTCTCAACATGCTCTTTTGATGTTGCACTGTTTTTATTGGCTATCCCTCCACCAGGAGCTGGATGATGTAATGAAGCTATTTGAGGTTCTGAAGCAGAAACAGTTGAATCAGACTGTTAGTGGTGAAGCTGCAGATCAACTGAAAAACATCATGAAGGAGGCTGAGGACGTCCAGAGAGAAGTGGAGGACAAACTCCGACAGATACAAGGTGCCTTTCTTACTTTAATTTGTCATCAGTCAGCATCGCAGTACATACATGTAGAACCAAACCACAGTTAACATGCAGTATCACACTGGTTCTATTAACACCAAGATTATCACATGATGGTACCAGACGGTACCACTGGTGGAGCAGTAATACTGTCAGCAAACACTCATACTGACAGGAGTAATACTATCAGCAGGAATAGTAGTTGATCTAAATGATCAATCGGCTGATTGAGTCCTTTTGGCTGCAGAGCTGCTGCATATTGATGATTCATGTTTATTGATCAACTCACAGAGGTTTACTGGTTTATTAAACCTGTTGCTGTGTTTCTGACAGAGTTGGAGCAGAAGATCCAGCAGCTGCTTCAGAGGAAAAACCAGAAAGCAGCTGAAGTGTCTGAGTTGCTGCAGACGGTGGATTCACTGCGACAGGAGATCTCCAGCCGAGCCGAAGGATACATCACATGTACCTCATAAACACTGCACAGTACTGCAGGACTGCTCTTATACACACTCAGAGTTGTAAACAGCACGTGGGATGATGGAATCTTTATTGATTGATTTATTAAAGGTCGTGAAATATGACAAAATTTGCTTGTTTAAAAATATACATACAGCAAATTGAAGTATCAGTTTTTGTGATGGAGAACGTGTGAATTAAATTTTCTTTATTTTTTTTGATTTTCGGCTTTATTTGACAGGATAGTAGAGAGTAAGACAGGAAAGTAGGGAGAAGAAGAGTGGAGGAAGGACCTGCAGCAAATGGCCATGGGCCGGATTTGAACCCATGGCCACTGCATCGGGGACTACAGCCCTGATTATTGGTCGCCCGCTCAACCCGTTAAGCTGCACAGGCGCCTTGTCAATTCAATTTTCTTAGTTTCGTGGCCTCTTAACGTCTCCTGAGTGGTTCTGATCGACTCCAGCTGCTGACTCCTCTGATCCAGTTTCAACAGAACCATCTGATCCACTCATTAGACTCAGATTCTACAGTGGGAACGTCTGAGGAACCAGTCAGGAAGTCACATGGAGCCATTTCAGAGCAGCTTCAGATCCAGAACCATCAGTGTGTCAGCATAAAGTTCATGGTCNGTGTCTTCAGTGTTTCCGCTGTAAAGTCCTTATAAGGAAGCTCAGCCAGATGTTTGTCCAGATGTTCTTCTGCAGGAAACAGACTTTATAGGTCAAACTGTTTGATCCAGTCAGAGACTAAATAAACTGAGCATGCTCAGTCTGAGGCTGTTTCTGTAAACATGGCCTTAATTTAGTGTTTCAGAGAAACTTCTGTGGATTTCATGGAGCTTCATGTTGAACTGAAACCATAGGAATTATGACTGGTTCCACTGGTTCCATTGGTTTCACTGGTTCCACTGGTTTCACTGGTTCCACTGGTTCCACTGGTTCCACTGGTTCCACTGGTTCCATTGGTTTCACTGGTTCCACTGGTTTCACTGGTTCCACTGGTTCCACTGGTTCCATTGGTTTCACTGGTTCCACTGGTTTCACTGGTTCCACTGGTTCCACTGGTTCCACTGGTTTCACTGGTTCCACTGGTTCCACTGGTTTCACTGGTTCCATTGGTTTCACTGGTTCCACTGGTTCCACTGGTTCCACTGATTTCACTGGTTCCACTGGTTTCACTGGTTTCACTGGTTGCACTGGTTTCACTGGTTCCATTGGTTTCACTGGTTCCACTGGTTCCACTGATTTCACTGGTTCCATTGGTTCCACTGGTTCCACTGGTTCCACTGATTTCCCTGGTTCCATTGGTTCCACTGGTTCCACCTGTTCCACTGATTTCCCTGGTTCCACTGGTTTCACTGGTTTCACTGGTTCCATTGGTTTGACTGTTTCCATTGGTTTGACTGGTTCCACTGGTTCCACTGGTTCCATGTCTCAGTCTGTAGATCACCAGTGTGTTATTTTAGTGTCCAGTTGTTCTTACATGTACTGATTGTGTTGCTGATGGCTGAGCAGACTGCTTCTCCATCTCTGTCCACGCTGCTGCTCTCATTCTGCTCAAGTGTTTAAACGACCGTCAGCCTTCATCATCCAGCTGATTCAGAGCAGAACTTCCTTTGATGTTGCTTCACAGACTTTGTCTTGGGCTCAGCTCTGTGGTTTATGACTGAGGCTGGATTTCAGGTGATTTTAAGGTGGTTTAGATGTTTCAGGTGGTTTCAGGTGCTTCAGGTCCACCAGCCTCAGTTTCTGTGGAACCTGCATAGTGCTGCATGTAGACAGTCTCTTGGCTTTTTGTCCCAGCAGGTAAAACTACAGAAGAGATGGTACTTGGAATGTAAACATAATAAAAACGTTGTGGTAGTTGCACTGACAACTGTGAGCTTTGTTTTGTTCGTCCGCTGCCACGTTGACAAGTTGCTCTGACCTTCTGTCTTCAACAGGATGAAAAGAAATGCTTCGTGTGCGACTCGATGGCGCCGTACGACGAGCTGGCCAATAAGACGAGCAGCCATCGCATCGAGAACGTCGTCACCACATTCGCCCCAAACAGACTGAAGACCTGGTGGCAATCTGAGAACGGTGAGAGGCAGGTTACCTGACCACAGATCAGCTGACTCGTGAACTCACTGACACGTTAGAACCAACAGCTGCTTTCAGAGCAGTTTGTTCCGTTTGTGTTCCTTCGTCTGAACAATCAGAGCAGGCAGTTCTCCATCAGAGCTGTTCTGCTCTTTGTATTCAGGTCGAAGAAGTCTGATGCGATGAAAGGAGCAGACAGACGCTTGTTCAGGTTTATGCTGCTTCAGCGGTAGCAGCAGTCTGACTGGATGTCATGTTCCCTTTGATGCTATCCGCTAGCTGAAGAACATCCATCCATCATCTACACACCTTAATCCTCACTAGGGTCGCGGGGGGCGGAGCCTATCCCAGCTGACTCAGGGTGAAGGCAGGTTCACCTGGACAGGTAGCTGACGAACAAGACTACAAAAATGTGTGTAAAGCTCATCACTGACAGTCACAACAAACGGCAGCAATCATCCAAGGTTGTGATCGACCAATCAGAGACGCTCAGGTCAGCTGTCGACAGTTTCAGGTTTATGATGTAAAGTGCATCAAGGCGTGTGATTGGCCAACGCAGCGCTGGCAGGATGTCGTTCACATGAATGAGAGGCTGTGTTGTTTCAGGCAGACTTCAGCCTTTGTCCTTCTCCTTGATTAGTGGTTCTCAAGCTGTGGGTCCCTGCTGGAGGCCATGGACTCATTCCTGGGTGGAGAGCCTTCATCCTAAATAAATAAACCTGTTTGAAGGCAGCTGCTGAATTCAGCTCCTGGTGAGCAAATGTTTTCAAAAATAAAATAAAGTTCTCACTTTAGTCATATGATGCGTCGTCTTTGACTCGTCTTCAGTTAAACGTACGGTTTCCAAATCATCACATTTTACACGACCCCAGAGATTTGGGATGTTGTATTAATGACAATAAAGTCGAAGTGAAGCAAACCTTCAGCAGGTCGTCGCTGTCAGCAGCTTTCATTCACTGATCTCAAGCAGCTTCAGATCAGTTGTGTCTCAGGATGTTCTGATCCGATTACAGATATCAGGATCAGTCAAGGCCTTTTTCACGGATCAGTGTTGAAGCTAAACTTGACCCTTTGTTGACATCACAAAGGTGTCATAAAGGCTCATCTACAATAACCCTCTTATTGATCTGTGACATTATCAATAAGTAACTTATTAACTGATCACAGTCCATCCTGTCCTGATGGTTCTGTTTCAGTCACTCCTGTTCCATCAGCCACTGTGATCCACAACCTCTGTTGGTCCCAGTTTGCCTGAAACTCCTGGTTGGAGGTCATGAACCTCCTCAGAGTCTGTCATGGTCCTGTTGCTGCTAAGCTCCCACAATGCTCTCTGCTCCGAGTGGCGCCTCCTCTGGTCCCTACAGGCCGAAACAGGAAGAGGCTCCACCTGCTATTTCAACACATATTGTGTTTGAGTTCGGGTTAGCATGTGTCACTTGTCTTCCAGCAGTCTCCACCCTAACCCTGGACTGGGGGAAACCATAGTTGGTTCTTTTGTGTACACAGATGCACAGAGAAATGACTAAAAAGAAATCCTGAATCTTGATTGAACAACCAGGTAGTGCAGCTAATTGACAAATACATGAAGTGTGTCTTATCTCGGAGAACAGTATCAGCAAATATGAAATGAGTTGGATCGCTTCATAGAGCCTGAAGCTCTCAGATCAGCCGTCTCATTATTGATCAGTGCTCTCTGGTCTGTAGATCCATTCTCGTGTTCTGAGTCTGAGTCGGTAAAGTTGACCCAGACATGGCTGACATCACTACATCTATCTGATCTACATGATAAACACATCGAAAGCTCTTTCGACACACTTCTTCTCTGTGGATCAGGTTTGTGTGCAGTGATGTCAGTATATTATGGATGACTGATCGTTGACTCTCTGCCCGTCACCTGATGTGGACTTCAGTCTATCTGATGGACTGATGTAAATTGTTGGGTATTGATGAGGGGTGTATTGATTAATCCGTTGAGTGCTGTTGCTGTTCTGCAGGTCTGGAGAACGTCACCATCCAGCTGAACTTAGAGGCTGAGTTCCATTTCACACATCTCATCATGACCTTCAAGGTGAGTCCTACAGAGATGCACACAGCAGGGGATTGTGGGTAACCACAGGCTGATAGATGAACCAAGCTGCAGCAGTTTACTACAGGACAGTCAGAGGTCAGGCAACAGGTGGGACCTCATGAGCTGCATAAACCAGGTGCATCATGTTCTACCTGCAGTAACACATTCCTGGATCACCTGAACACACCTGGTGCTGCGTGATTCTCAGTGAAAGTGAAATTATAATGTTCTGCCCTCAGACGTTTCGACCTGCTGCCATGGTGATCGAGCGGTCAGCGGACTTTGGGACGACGTGGCAGGTTTACAGGTACTTTGCCTACGACTGCGAGACGTCCTTCCCCTCAATCTCCCAGGGTCCGATGCAGAAGGTCGATGATGTCATCTGTGACTCACGCTACTCCGACATCGAGCCATCCACTGAAGGAGAGGTACTGCTAGTATTAGTACTATGGCTGCTACTAGTGTTACTGCTAATGCTTCTGTTACTGTTACTACTACTACTGTTACTGCTAATGGTACTACTAATGTTACTGCTACTACTACTACTACTACTACTGTTGCTGGTACTGTTACTACTGCTACAGCTAATAGTACTTATTCTTTGATGAATGTACCTTCTGTCCAGGTGATTTTCAGAGTTTTGGATCCAGCGTTCAGGATCGATGACCCTTACAGCCCCCGAATCCAGAGTACGTCTTAGCCTCAATAAACAATAACTGGGTTACTGATCATTGATCAGTCACTGACTTGTCATTTTTATTCTCCAGACATGTTGAAGATCACTAACCTGCGGGTGAAGTTCACCAAACTGCACACACTCGGGGACAACCTGTTGGACTCTCGTATGGAGATCAAGGAGAAGTACTACTATGCAATCTACGACATGGTGGTCCGAGGAAACTGCTTCTGCTACGGCCACGCCTCTGAGTGCGCCCCAATCCAGGGGTCCAGCCTGGCCCGGGAGGGTATGGTAAGTCCTGGTGAATCCTGGAGGGTCTGGGGGGTGGGGGGTTAGGGTTAACCCTAACCTTAAAGGGGAATTTATTCACTGTCTTCTGTTTGTCGTTGTTTTTATTTATATACTGTTTTCTGTTTGGAAAATCAACTTTATCCAACTTTAAATAAAATCATACCCTGATGACAGCTGTCATGAAGCAGTTCTTTCAAACACTGGTAACAGCCTACGACTGTACAATCAGCACCTCTTGACAGTTACACTGTGTAAACGTCGGGTTGTGCCTACTGCAGTCACTGCATGACTGGTTATGGATTATTTGTGTTTTTATGTGATTCAGGTTCACGGTCACTGCATGTGTAACCACAACACTAAAGGTCTGAACTGTGAACAGTGTCAGGACTTTTACCACGACCTTCCCTGGAGACCGGCTGAGGGACGCAACACCAATGCCTGCAAGAGTGAGTCCACACCTGTCTACGCCTCGTATAATACATCCATCTCTTTTAAGTTGCTGT